TCTCGCATAAAAGATTAGACAAAATTTAGTAATAATAAATAAATAAAATAATGACAAAGAAATAAAATTTTAATTGCAGAGCAACAAAATTTCAATTGAACCACGATTAACTCTGTATTTTGGAAGTCCCCGACAACGACGTCAAAAACTTGATCGGAAAAATAGCAAGTGTACTATTTCCGCGATGTAGTAATAGTGGGAATTTCTCAAGATATCGATCTTGAGGATTACGTATGACTACCTAGTTGAATATGTGGTTCAATTAAACAAAAATAATATGACGGGTTTAGATATTGTATTTAAACTTTAACACTACTAGTAATGAGCATAAAGTATATTATGACTTTTTATAATTGTAAATCTTCAATTGCTTTCGCGCTTGAAAGATTCTCCGTCTCTAAAACTCTTCAAATTCTCTCCTTTAGCGTGCAATTCTTCAATCATTCAAAAAGTATCGATTTTCTTCTCAAAAATAGGTTTAAATAATGTTAGGTCATTCCTTAGATATGCTGAAATGTCTCAAATACCCTTTATGCTCCAATCCACTTAAAATTCCAAAAATCAAACATCTTGGTGTTTTGACTGACACGGGTCGTGTCATGCGACACAGGCACCCGTGTCATCCTCTTCTTCTTGCTTCTTGTCATGCTTTCTATCACGTGTTTTGATACAGACTGTGTCGTGTGACACAAGCGCCCGCTTCAGCTTATGTCTCTTGCTTCCTGGCACGATCCATGCAGGTGTTTTGACACAAGTCATGTCGCGTGACACGAGCACCCGTGTCAACCTCTGTATCTTCACCCAGACTGTAAGTTGTGCATCATCTCTTGACACGGCCCATGTCAGGTGACACAGGTGGACGTGTCAAGAACCCTGTAGCTCCAAAATTCTTCTTCTCAACATCGGGACTCCCATTTTCTCCGTGTAAGACCATTGAGCTTTTTGCCTGAATCTAACAACATAAACCACTACCAAGAAAACACATCAAATGCGACAAAAAGGTAAATGTATACTAAAAATACTGCGAGAAAGGAAAATTAGAAAAGTTAAAAGTCTATAAAAATAATAGACAAAGAACCAAAGTGTTACCGATTTTCGTGGATTCATGCCAAATGGATAGATGAAAATTAGTATAATTGGTGACCGATCACTAGGTCAAAATGGACAGGTGTGCTCGTAAGTAGCCGTTTGTTCTAAGGAGGAGAATTACAGGCATATGGCCATTTTGGTTGTTTCCTGGGTGTCTGCCCGACTCGTGTCGGGCTAACGAGAGATATTCGCTGATCTGGCCAGGCGTGTATGTCGGGCGTAACTGGTTGGATGACAAGCGTTGTGGTCGACCAGAGTGCTGGGCCGCTGTCATCAGGTCGTGCCAAGGGAAGGAGTGAATTGGGTCAGTTCTAGTCATTGAGTCAGTCTAGAACAATAAGTCTGTCTACTTGAAGCTTGTCAATAGTCCCGATGTGAATTTATGTAAACTCTTAACGTATAACCCAGCAAAGCCTAGGGCTAAGGTGGTGTTATGGCTTGCTTGCCATCGTAAGCTTGCAACTAAAGACAAGCTCCTTAAATTCGGTATCGTTGATAATAGCAGGTGCAATTTCCGTCACAATGAGAAAAGTATCAACCATATTTTCTTTGAGTGTACTATTTTGAAGGCAATTTGGATAGATGTTCTGCATTGGGCAAATTGCAACCAATTATCCAAGAAGTGAGATTATTAAGCACGGTGCTGCTAAAGGGTGGATGGCAAAATTGCTCAAACTTATGTTTACTAAAACTTTGGTGCTCATTGTCAGAAATCTTTGTAAATGATTGTTGGCATCCTCACTAACCCTTCCAGAGAAAGATCTCCTCTCAAGCTGAGTGATAGTGCTAGGATACAACTGAAAATTTGGTACATTCACCGGTTGGTTCATAATAGTTAGTCGACCAGCCAATGCATTCGTTCCACCATAGTCACCAACTAATCTCTCAGGTGGATTTTCGGCCATAGTTGCTGGCCCTGAATCTATCTCTTTATGCTCTGAAAGGTATTTTGAATTAGAACTAGAATGCTCTGGATTATGTCCTTCTTCGGATGCCAGCCTAGCTAATCTCGCTTGTCCTTTCCTTCTGTGAAAAGTTCTTTCAACCTCTGTGTCAAAAGGAAATTCAGCTGAGGCATTTTCTCGCATAAAAGATTAGACAAAATTTAGTAATAATAAATAAATAAAATAATGACAAAGAAATAAAATTTTAATTGCAGAGCAACAAAATTTCAATTGAACCACGATTAACTCTGTATTTTGGAAGTCCCCGACAACGACGTCAAAAACTTGATCGGAAAAATAGCAAGTGTACTATTTCCGCGATGTAGTAATAGTGGGAATTTCTCAAGATATCGATCTTGAGGATTACGTATGACTACCTAGGTTAATATGTGGTTCAATTAAACAAAAATAATATGACGGGTTTAGATATTGTATTTAAACTTTAACACTACTAGTAATGAGCATAAAGTATATTATGACTTTTTATAATTGTAAATCTTCAATTGCTTTCGCGCTTGAAAGATTCTCCGTCTCTAAAACTCTTCGAATTCTCTCCTTTAGCGTGCAATTCTTCAATCATTCAAAAAGTATCGATTTTCTTCTAAAAAATAGGTTTAGATAATGTTAGGTCATTCCTTAGATATGCTGAAATGTCTCAAATACCCTTTATGCTCCAATCCACTTAAAATTCCAAAAATCAAACATCTTGGTGTTTTGACTGACACAGGTCGTGTCATGCGACACAGGCACCCGTGTCATCCTCTTCTTCTTGCTTCTTGTCATGCTTTCTATCACGTGTTTTGATACAGACTGTGTTGTGTGACACAAGCGCCCGCTTCAGCTTATGTCTCTTGCTTCCTGGAACGATCCATGCAGGTGTTTTGACACAAGTCATGTCGCGTGACACGAGCACCCGTGTCAACCTCTGTATCTTCACCCAGACTGTAAGTTGTGCATCATCTCTTGACACGACCCATGTCAGGTGACACAGGTGGACGTGTCAAGAACCCTGTAGCTCCAAAATTCTTCTTCTCAACATCGGGACTCCCATTTTCTCCGTGTAAGACCATTGAGCTTTTTGCCTGAATCTAACAACATAAACCACTACCAAGAAAACACATCAAATGCGACAAAAAGGTAAATGTATACTAAAAATACTGCGAGAAAGGAAAATTAGAAAAGTTAAAAGTCTATAAAAATAATAGACAAAGAACCAAAGTGTTACCGATTTTCGTGGATTCATGCCAAATGGATAGATGAAAATTAGTATAATTGGTAACCGATCACTAGGTCAAAATGGACAAGTGTGCTCGTAAGTAGCCGTTTGTTCTAAGGAGGAGAATTACAGGCATATGGCCATTTTGGTTGTTTCCTGGGTGTCTGCCCGACTCGTGTCGGGCTAACGAGAGATATTCGCTGATCTGACCAGGCGTGTATGTCGGGCGTAACTGGTTGGATGACAAGCGTTGTGGTCGACCAGAGTGCTGGGCCGCTGTCATCAGGTCGTGCCAAGGGAAGGAGTGAATTGGGTCAGTTCTAGTCATTGAGTCAGTCTAGAACAATAAGTCTGTCTACTTGAAGCTTGTCAATAGTCCCGATGTGAATTTATGTAAACTCTTAACGTATAACCCAACAAAGCCTAGGGCTAAGGTGGTGTTATGGCTTGCTTGCCATCGTAAGCTTGCAACTAAAGACAAGCTCCTTAAATTCGGTATCGTTGATAATAGCAGGTGCAATTTCCGTCACAATGAGAAAAGTATCAACCATATTTTCTTTGAGTGTACTATTTTGAAGGCAATTTGGATAGATGTTCTGCATTGGGCAAATTGCAACCAATTATCCAAGAAGTGAGATTATTAAGCACGGTTCTGCTAAAGGGTGGATGGCAAAATTGCTCAAACTTATCTTTACTAAAACTTTGTATGAGATTTGGGCTTATCGTAATAGGTTTTGTTTTGGGCAAACCATGGATAGAGATCATGTTGTGAAAGGTATAATTGATAATATTGTGTATAGGGGTTAATATTGTAAGGATTTAAAGTCTCACATAGCTAGATTGATGTTGGGATAAAGTTTTTTTCTCATCTTTTGATAGCTTTATTGGTCGGATCTTCATGATCGCCTAATATCTCTTGATTTTTTTGATTTAATTTAAAAAAATTTATTTAAAATTTATTTTATTTCGATATTTGTTATATATATATATATATATATATATATATATATATATATATATATATATATATATATATATATATATATATATATATATATATAATAATAATAATAATAATAATAATAATAATAATAATAAATAATATTAAAACATTTCAACCAAAATAATTTAAATAATATTTAAACATAATATTATAGTAAAATATATTAAATCCTATTAAATGTTGGTTAATTACTTTTAATTCCCAAATATTAAACTCTAAAAATAATATGAAGTCTTTTCTTTTATTTATTTATTGAATATTTTTTGTAACATTCTTAGGACTACATTACATATAATTATTAGATTCTTTCCTACTTTAATTTCGTCAAACTTTATTTATTTCTCAATCAAATTCCAATACCATCACTCTCCATTTCCCTAAAAACTAGGGGCTATTAAAAAAATGTACAACTTACAAAAAAAAAAAAACTCCAAAGTTTGAATAAATTTGAAAAAAAAAAACATCATTTTCATTGTCTAATAGTAGATAGATATGTCTTGTGTTGTGGTGTAACAAAACAAGAAAGGAAACATTTTAAAGCGCGCCCACTATATTCCTTATTCCCATTCCGCAACAATTCAATTTTTCAATTTTTAAAATTTTAAATTTTAAACTTTCAATTTTCAAATTTCTCTCTCTCTTCACTCTCTTTTACTCAAGAGATCTTCACTTCACAAAACCCTAATTCACCAAAATTCATCTTTTCTCTTTTTCTCTTCCCCCAAATTCATCTCAAACACGTTCGTGTATGGATGACGAATGCAATTCACTGGAAAAATCGATTCTGACCGTCCAATCTGCTTCAAAGGTTCGTTCTTTTTGCGCTTCTTGTGTTATTGTTGTTCTGAAAATCTGAATCATTTTTCTGATTCTTTGTGCTTTAGATTATGAGTGAGAAACGAGTTAACACAAACCCGGGTGATAAACATGACCCCCCTCGAAAACGAGTCAAAATGAGAGATCTTGAATCCCTTGTTCATTCCGCAGGTAATTCCGTTATTGAATTGAATTTTGAATTTGAATTACATGCACTTGTTTGAATAATTCAATCTTGTATGTGTAGAATTCAATCTTGTATTGTTTGTTTTTCGAAATTTTATTTTAGTTACATGAAAATCTATTTGAATTGTTAGTATGGGTTTTTGTTATTCTTGTTGGTTTTATTTTGTGTTTATGGTGCAGAGAAGGCAATTGGGAAAGAAAACATTGTTCAATCGTCGTTTGACAATGTTGAGATGTCACAAACCACTAAGGTGCCTTTGACAGTGGATATGGATGTCTCGAAAGAAGAGCAAGATGGAAGGATTGTATTGGGTAGCCCGAGGCTTTTGGATCTTAACAATGAAGTTTGTGGTACTAAATATTCTTCTTTGTGTTCGGATAAAGTTGGTGGGTTTGGTGAGAAGCTCGGTAAGGATAAGGAATTGTTGTCTGAGAAGCTCGAGAAACAGGAAAGAGAACAGCGGGGTAATATTGTGAACACGAAAGGAGTTAATCTGGATCTCAATGCGGAAGATGATACTAGCTCCGTGAATGTGGAACGGGTGAGTGTTCTGAAAGAACATGGTCATGTTAAGTCAAAGGATTTGTCTCAGAGTGAGAGCAGTACTGGACCTCCGAAGGAAAAAGATCCAATGAAGATATGGACAGAGATGAAACGAAACGGTTTTATTTCATCTGCTCATGGAGGCATTCCGGTGCCGAAGAAACGCGGGAGGAAAAGTAAGAATGAAATTCTTGAGCAAAAAATGGAGCTTGCCAAGAGAGAACAAATCAACAGGTTTACAAAAATTGCAGCTCCAAGTGGACTACTGAATGATTTAAACCCTGGGATTATTAATCATGTAAGAAATAGGAAACAGGTCCATTCAATTATTGAGGCTCTTGTAACTGAAAAACATGAAAATAGAAGCAAGCAAGAAGCTCATCGAATGAGTGGAGGTATAGACATGACCAAGAGAGACCTAGAATGTGTGAACGAAGATGGGACCTTTCATGGCTCTGCAGGTGGTAGACAAGCACGGAAGAGTCATGTGACAAAGAATGATTCCTCGTGGATTTTGGAGGATAAATGTTGTGATCGTGACACATACAATGTAGAGAAAGCTGGCCTTAAAGACTGTGTATCAAATGCAAATCATGTCACAGACGATGATATTTTATCGCTGAAATTGTCATCTTCAATGAAGGCATCAATGAGTTCCACCAGTTTGTCAAATGAAGAATCATCAACTGTTACTGCAGTTTCATCACTTTCTCTAAAAGGCTCGTAGTTATTTTCCTCTTGCTATGCTTCTTGTGTTTAAAGCACCTCATGTAATAAATGCATAATAAATCAAAAGGATTGGTTCTTTTATGCTATTGGGTTTGAAAGCTAGAGATTAATTGATATTTTGGAAAATTAATCTAGGCATTAACATTATCACAGTATCTGTGTCTTTGTTTCAGCTTGTCAAATATGTGTAAGACGAACTGGGCTGTAAAAGAAAAATTAGCATTAGCTGATATAGAAGCTTATTGAGCCTTTACTGATACAGATGCTTCTATGTTTTTCAGCTGCTACTGTTGCTTCTCAATGGTTGGAGCTTCTACATCAAGACATCAAAGGGCGTCTTTCGAGTAAGGCCATATTTATTCGTTTCTTTTAACAAGATTTGGATGTTGAGTATGCTTACATTTGGTTTTTGTAATTTTTTCTACATTTGCAGCTTTGCGTCGCAGTCGGAGGAGAGTTCGATCTGTTATCACTACTGAGTTACCTTTCCTTATGTCGAAGGAATTCACAGATAACCAAAGTTATGATCCTTGTGGTATGAACATTCCTGCAGGACTCCCGACTAGTAAAATAGCAGAGTTGCATCAGGCAAGATGGACTGCTTTGTTTGATCATATGGATGAAGCACTTTCAGAAGAGGAAAAACAACTCGTGAGTGCAAAAGCGCATAATTATTTTGTCATTGTCTTAATGATTGTTTTAGGTTTCGTTTAGGTCAAGCTATGCCATTTTGTATGAGGAAGTATAAAGGGATATGATCTGACACAAGATCAACATACAAAAATAACAAGGGATATGAACTCCCATTTTTGTTATATGCAATTAAGCATTGCTTAAGATCTTGTTTATTTAGATTTCATAGAACTATTTCTTTCCTTCCGTAAGGGTGGATAGTAGCAGTGTCCATGGTCAAATTGGATACCCAGCAAGGTTCCAGGTTACTTGTCTCATTACAGAGATTTTGATATTCAATTACTAAGAACGAATTTGGCACCTTTCTCTGTCTTAATCTGATATGGACTTGTCTGTTTCATTATTTCAGGAAAGTTGGTTGAATCAAATAAAAGACAAGCAATTGCTATGTGATCAGGGCCTGCAACATGTAAACTGGAGCAAGGCTTATGGTTTACAACAGTCGACAACTTCAGAAAATCACTCCAGGTAAATTTTCAATTGCCTATTATAAGATTACATATTATTGATGTAATGATGTTGGCTATGAAGCATATATTCCGACACGGGCCTTCTGAATACGACACAACATGGACACTCTTACATAGATAATTTCAAAAACATAGAATACCGACACCACTATATGATGGTATTTAAGCTTCATTTATTCATCTATTATTATTGAAACACTTGTCTGAATTGTCCGACACATGTTGTATGAGTGTCATACGAGTGCCGGACATCGATTCGAAGTGTCGAAACAAAGAAAAAAAAGTTTTTTAGGATACTTGTTTTATGTTTCCGACACTTGCCTGACTTTTCCGACAAGTGTCACACACCGCCGCATCACGCGTACTCCTAGAGGTGTCTGTGGTTCATAGGATGTTGGCACTGTTGGTTAGGTTTGAAGTTTATAAATTAAAACAATCACATAAAATAGAGTTTATAAAACCACTACAAATTAAAACCGCGTAACGCCGCAATGTAGTGGGCACAATAGCCACATCAAGCTGCAACAGATTATGTAGTGCTCACAAAAATTATTTTGTAGCCTCTTTTTCCTTTATATCATATGTTTATGGTGTATTTTAAAAGGAATAGCGATTTTTATATATGAAGAGTTGATATTGAAAGAAATAGGAGATTTTGTAGAGGAAATAAGACATGTGGGTTTTGAGATGACTAATACATAATAGTATTTTATGCTAATAAAAACTTTCACGCAGCAATAGCAACAACTGCTGTTCGCATCATAACTTACGAAACACATTCATTCATGAGCCAACACTGTGACACATGCTTTTTTGAAGGTCTATAGTTGTACATGTAGAGTTGATAGAGGAAATCATTGAGAGGATAGAAACTTGAAGACCATATCATATCATATCATATCTCATATTCAATGAAACTAATTCTCTCTCTTGAAAGATAAATTTGTTAATACAATTTTTTTCTCAACTGGAGTCAATTTTTTCAACAGTTTGGATTTGTTTTGGTATACAATTTGGGCATGCATAGAATATTCTTCCAATATATAAAATGCTATTTCTGTTTGCAATGACTTAGTGACAATTTTGACTAATTTTGATAATCGTTAATGTGCAGATCATCACAATTAGACAATTCAGAGAAAGAGTTGGCTGTTAATGCAGCAGCAGCTTCCATATACTCAACATGCAATTTTCTACTGTCAGAGTTAAGTTGCATTTGACATTGAGTCTAATGTTGTTGTTGTTGTCGTCAATTGCTGATCGCGGAAAATAAGAGTTTGTTCACATATTTCTATGCTACAATGCTATATCTCTATAGCGTGATAACAATGACAACAATGATTTGTCAGAATCTGCTTCGCTATAGCGTGATAATACCTGCTATAGCTGCTATTTCACAAACAATAGTCATATATGTTCACCTGATGTTGGTTATCTTTTTTTCTTCTCTCCTCAATGAGTTGAGATTGCTTTAGCAATTGCCATCGGTATGTAGAACAACTGTAGTTTAGGTTTTTTGGCATATGAACAAGTTTTCATACTTGTTGTGATTGTAACTCTAGCCGTCGAATTAATTTATTATTCTCTTTCTTTTGTCGAACTTTTCTATAGAAAATGTTTACGTTTTCTACAAAAATTTAATCAATAATAATTGCAAAATAAACAAATATTATTGGATTCTATCTCATGAGTCATATACATTTACTTCTATTTTGCAAAAATTGGAGAAAACATGGAATTATGTGTTGAGATTTGTAAAGCTGAATGAAATGTGAAACGTGACAGTTAGTTTAAAGTTCCAGAAAAGTGTTGAGATTTGTCAATACTAATAAAATGTGGGGATGCTCTTTCCACATCTCACCCTAGAAAAACTGAAAATGGCCTTCAAACATCTAGAGATGTATCTCCAGCCGCATTCAAAATGACATCAGAAATCATTATTATGAGATTCATCTCATTTTGGATATGCATCTCAGTATATTATTTGGATACATTCAGAAATGCATCTTCAGAATATCTCAAATGATTTAAAGGCAGAATCTTTGTTTCAACATTGTATTTTTTTGAAGCAAAGGTAATGTAATTTTTTGAAGTAAATCAAATTGAAAATTTACCAAATCAAATTATTGTATGAGTTATGAGATGCTGAAAAGGAGGAGTTAGAGCTCCAATGGTAGAAGTTTGCTACAAATAGAGGCTTGAATTAGACAGAGAGCTCAAAAGCTTTAGAAGAGGAAGATAATTTTTTATTTTTATTTTTTTGCAGAAAATGAACAAGAATGAAGTGGGAAAGGCAATCTGGCGCGATATATGAAAGTAAAGCGTCAGAGGATGCATCTCTTGACTATCCATAATAGTTAGAATGAACGGTATATTCAAAGATACATCTTTAGACACACTTCATAAGGAGATGCATCTTTGGATTTATTTTTGACACAATAGGGATACTCTTCAATTTGATAGGAGAAATGGTTAAAATAAGTGTGTCTAGAGATGCATCTCCGAACTCTCACAATAGTATGAACTTTTTATGATGAATGTGGAATAAAACATAAGAGTGGAAAGAGCAACCCCTTGAATGTTTACTGCATTTCAAATTCTTTAAGGTTAAATTTATTTTTCGTTCCTATAAAAATTCTTCGAATAATGGTCTTCGTAAAATTTTCCGTCCCTAATTTTAGTCTGTGCCATCTATTTTCTCTAACAGAAGATGACGTAGCATGCCACATCCCTTAAAATTAATAATTTGGTCGACAAAAAAAAAAACACAATAAATTGTGGGAGTTTAATACTTCCCTAGTTTATATAATTTTTTTCAAGTTCATCTTCTTCTTCTTTATTGTACATACGAATACAATCATACATAACTAAACACAAAACAAAGTATTCATATGACATCCATTTCAATTAGCCTAGCTTGCACAATACTATCATATTCCAATTAGAGCCAATGATTATATATGTCAATGGAGCCAAAAGTTGAATGGTCTCAACTCTTAAAATATTGATTACTCAAAGAGCTTCTATATCATACATAATAACAATGGATCAATAATTTGTGTAAGCACCATACCATATCACTTGACAATCACCAAAACATTGCGATTAAAATATGTGTTTTTTGTTCTTGACTCTAGCGTTTATTGATGAGATGGTGTTGCCCCTTTTATATGTTCTTTGACTCAGGTTCTTCGTGTTGTTGATGTTGGCTGTTGGTGGTGATCACGTTTGTGCTAGAGAGTTGCACTCTGGTGTGGTCAAGTGTTGGTGAAGCTAAGGTGGAGTTGAGTTTCCTTTTTCTGATGAAAGTTTTCAGTTTCGAAGCATTACTTGTGGTTATGGTTTTGCTTGTGGAATATTGATGGTGAGTAATAGAGTTTTTTGTTGGGGTGTAAATGGAAAAAACGGTGTTGAGAATTTGATTCAGAAACAGTTTGAGAATCTATCAATGTCGGCATTGATTTATGGTGTTTCTCATGTTTGTGGTATAACTCTCAATGGAGTTTTGGTTTGTAAAGGGAAGAAGAAGAACAATGATTATGGTAAGTTAAATGTTCATTTGAATTTTGTGAGACAATTTTTCAAATAGTTGGTATGCATTAAAAAGTATAATATCATTTGAGGGGTTTCAAACCCCCGTAATCCAATACTTTTTTTCAATGTTGACCTTTAATGGTACGGCGTACTACGTCAGCTTCTATTAGAGTAAATAGATAACCGAAATTAAAATTGTGGATGAAAAACAATAAGTAAGATATTTTTTGAAGAATTTTTTTTTGAGAAACTAAATTTAAATGTTTGAATATTTATGAGGATTTCAGAGATATTTAACCCATTGTTATGTTTACTTTGCTTTTCTTTATCAAACATGATTACACTTTCTACACAAAATTAAGGATCATTTCAGAAAAAAAAAAATATCATTCTTTTAAGAGTTAAATATATTTTTGATCTTTATAAATATTTTAAATTTCATTTTTAATCCCTATTAAAAAAATGATAAATTTTAGTCTTTAAAATTTTTTTGGTCATCATTCTGTTTTAATCCCTGTTATTTTCTAAAATTTTAAAAACTATTTAATTATCTTTAAACTTTTAAATTTTTGAATAATATTTTTCATACATTGTTTAGAATACTATAAAATGTTTCTTTATCAAATTTTAGAATTTTTTAAAATGAGAAGAATTAAATATGATTTTTTTAAATTTCAAAAGCTATTGATAAAAATAATGAAAATCTCGACTTAAAAATTAAATTTTAAATTTCTTTTTTTCCAAGGAATTTTTTATAACGTTCTAACCATGTCTACAAAATAATCATTCAAAAATACACATTGGTTTAACAGCAGAGACTATTTATAGAGATCAAAAATATATTTAACCATTCTTTTAATTAAAACTAGATTGTGATCGGGGCATTGTGCGAATGCTATTTTCTTTTTATTTTTTTTAAAGGAGTTTGCTAATATAAGTCATGAAAGTTAACATTTATATGATTACCTGTCCACTTCTTCACTGCCTCCCAAATTCTATCCGAAATTACACAAGAGTTAAAAAGATGTGTTTTGTCTTCCTTTTCTTGGAACAGTACACACAACAGTTACCTGTACCACTCTCTAAAATACCCCTCTTGATAAGTTGATCTCTTGTCGGTAACTGATCAAGATTCACGCTCCATCCAAAAACATGAATGTTAGATGGAACTTTTAACTTCCATTAAATTGTCAAGACTTTTCTCACCATATTCAAAAGCTTAGTAGTACTAGAATCCAACTTAGCATATCAAGATTTCACCGTAAACCTTTCCTGATCACCAACCAACTAGACAGAATCATCTGCACCAATCTGCATAGGTTCAAAATCATTCAACAAGTGTTGTAATTCCTCCTATTGCCGGACAACTTATGTTGACAAATTCTTGATATTGAACATCGTCTTCCAATGCCAAGTTTCGCCATCCTATATTCCCGTATTAGAAACACTTCCAATCTTTTCAGCAACTCCTTCCAAAGCTTCAGAGAAAACCTCTTTCAAAGTTTGGTTACCAAACCATTTGTTGTGCCAGAAAGATATTTCATTTCCATTCTTCAACCTCCCAACAATACAAATATATTTTTCCAAGATGACAACCTATTAGCAGTATTATTAATAACATCCTTCCATATGTGCACTTTTCTTGGGCTATCTCCAATTTTCGCACCTAGAAATTTGAAAGGGATATGATCTTCGCAGCAAGACAAAAAAAGATGCAACAATATTCATGCTCCTTTCACTCAAATTGATTTCGTAAATCTTACTCTTATAAAAATTTACTTTTAATCCCGACACCATTTCGAACCCTCTATGTAAGAAAAATATTTGGTTCTACATTTGGCCTTAAGATTTTATGATAATATTACATGATATCTTAGAGAACAATTTAGTACTCTAACAGTTTAAGTCTAGTGTGTAGCTTTTTCTAATAGGTTATGATTCAGAAGATAAGGTGTGTGACATTATCAGGTTCTAAACACAACACACTCTGACTCTAGAAGAAACCATTGGTGTTTACAATGACCCAATCAAGTTCTAGAATGCTTCTATAACAACAGTTATGATAAAAGTTAATGATAGAGCTTCTGATCGTGACTCTTTTGGAAGAGTTTCTAAAGACTTCTCAAGCTCTGAAATTCTGTATGTTCAAGTTCTGAAGATTCTGAAGACAAGGTTCTGGAAGAGTAAGTTCTAAAGATTATGAAGACAAAGATTCTGAAGACCAAGTGCTGAAGACTCTGAATACAAGGTTCTAGATGAACGGGTCATGAAGACTCTAAAGACTTAGATTCTGAAGATTTTAGTTTTTGTCTTTTTAAGCATGTTTCTTCATCAACCATCAGAAGCCTCTGAAGATTAGAAGATAAGATCAAAATTGATTTACGTGAGAGAATAATACAAGGTACGAATATTCCCACTACCCTGATATAGTGGCGGAAGGAGTGTACTATGTTGTTTATTAGAGCTGTCAAAATGGGATAGCCCGCTCCGCCCAAAAATCATAAGGCTTAGGCCTTCAAATTAGAGCCCGTAATTTTTAGGGCTTTTTTAGCCCAACCCTAAAAATCCCTCTACCTATTAGGGCTAGCCCGTATGGGCCGTGGGTAGCCCATTAGGCCCGCATAGCTATAAATTTTAAAAAATATATATTAATTTTTATATTGTGTTACTCTAAAATAACACATTG